AAGCAATAACTTCTATTTGACAGTTGCGTGTACTCTGGGGTGTGGAATACCTTAATTTTATGGGGAACATCCTGTCCATGTGTAATACTTAATATATTCTAACAGATGACATTACACAAATTTTTCTTCTTTAAAATGAATGATTTGTATATCATCATAATTTGCTATTTATATAAACCACATTTTGGTATAATAATTATTTACCATATCAACATTGAATATTATGAATGTAGAATGAAATATGTCTACAGTATGTTTGTTTGAATCATTTAATTTATAAGATTTAGGAATCAAAATTTGTAATTATTTAAAAACCCACATTGAAATTGTTTTATATCAACACACCCACATTTGAATTATTTTATACTTTAGATTTCATAGCCATATTTGCATTTGTAAAAATATTTATATACCCAAATTTTGAATTATTTAACATGCCCAACTTTTATTTTTGTTGTAAAGAAGTGCAACTTGAAACAACAGTATATCATATAAAGAGAAATAAAGATTAAAGTTATATCATAAATATTGGTCATGATTGGTAAAACTCAGAACTGTCAAGTAAATTTAAGACATGATTCAAAATGTCCAGAATATGTCAAGCCATACTGAGAAAAAATAAGAATGTCGAGAAATTTCAAGACAGTATTCAAATGTCAAGAATTTGTCAAGAAATTTTAAGACCATATTCAGAATGTCGAGAATATGTCAAGTAAATTTCATACAAATTTAATATAAATGAGAATTTGTCAAGAAAAATTAAGACACAAGTCATACTTTTGGAGAATGTCGAGTAAAAGTTCATGCAAATTAAGACAAAAACTGGTCTTTTCAGACTTTTAGACTTTTGTAGTGAAGTTTCTCTCTATCATAGCAAAAAACATGAAATATAATAAAATTTGTTTCAAGAGCAATAACTCTTATATGGGATTGATTTACAATTTTTGTCAGTTGACTTAATTGTAGATCTTAATTTGCTGACATTTTTGCTGTTTAAGGGGGTACCAAACACTTTGACTAAAATAGATTTGGCTCAGTTAATTTTCATAAAATTTTGACAAATTATTTACCACACAATTTACAGGAATAATTTCATTGAATATATAGCAGTTTCACAAACACTAATTTTGGTCATTGAGATCCTCGATTTCTCTTAACTAATAGTATGTGATTAAAACATTTGTACCCCTTACAATTTCTCTTTATCTATTACTGTTTTCAAGATAATAACCAAAAACAGAGAATTTTGTAAAATTTATTATTTCAGGGGCAATAACTTCAAATGTGGATGTCTGATTGTTCTGAAAATTTCGTGCCAAATAATCTGAGCATGCTTATCATTTTACCCAAGTCAGTTTTGCTTTAACTGATTCAGTTTTTGCGATTTCAGCAAAAAACTGCATTACCCCTATGTTATATTTTTAGCCATGGGGGGGGGGGTCATGTCTCATGATGGACAAAAATAAATAAACACAAACTTTATACTAGATAACCTAAGAATCATTCAGCACAAGTTTGCTTGAACTATATCCAGTGGTTTCAGAGGAGAAGATTTTTGAAAAAGTTTACACCAGACGTTTGACACAAAGGGATGGCAGAAGATCACATGGCCATTTAGGCAAAGTGAGCTAAAATATTTTTGGCCATTGACCAACAATCTAATATAAATAAAAGCTCATAATAATTTTTGATTTTACAAAATTATATAAAACATACAATATTCATTTTTATATAATTGAACACATCTATAACATATAGTAAAACTACAACAGTAAATATCACAATATTGTATAAACACACTGGAATGCTTAAAAAGTACACTAATATTGCCCCCAATATTCGTCCATGCTCATATCGAACATGTCTAATGCAACCATTTCTATTAGACACAAAGCTTAACATCTGCACAGAACTACCTGTCATAAAATTTTGGACAAGACTGATATGAAATGAAGTATGTTATGTGCTTTTTAAAAACATTTAAGGCCAAATATTTCCTTTGAAATATTTCAGAATAAAATCATTCATTGGAAAATGTTCTTTGATTTTATTTTTTTAATGTACAAAATTGTAATATGTCTATAACTTTAAATCTGAACCACATTATTGTTACACGGTATACTGTATACCTTTTGTATATTAGATATATCAGCTGAAATGTTTTCAATTTGTTTTGAAAATTACCTGACTGAACACACTTGCAAAAATTATTTTTTGTTTGAAATGTGTATGTGAACCTGTTTCAAACAATTTGGTTAACAAAAATTATTTTGTAAATATATATATATGAAAGAGAGTTGTGTTATGCATCATGTCAGTGTAAAAATGTTTAAGTAAATTAGAAAGGAAAAATTATTTAGAGTAAACCTTAAAACATGACAAAAACCAGTCATCGGACAAAATTGAGACAAATCACTGTTTCAAGAGCTAAAGCCTTCCAGGTAAACACTTGGATGTACACCAAAATTAGTTAACTATGGCTTAAACAATGGATATATCAACCTACAACATAACAGTTACTTTCATTTTTGGTGTATGAACAAACAGTTACTGAGACTATCCACTCCTTTACATTCTGAAACTTTAAACACTCAAAAACTTATTCAATTATTCACTGTTTATGCCGCTCATGTTACAAAAGAATCAAAATTTTAGTAGCTGTCATTGAGATTTTTTCTGATATGAAATGGGTGGCCCGCATGTGGCCTAAAATTCTAAGGAAAAATCTTTCCTGTATTTCCCTTTACTTTGAGCTTAAATCTTAAGTAGTTTATGATAGCACAAACAACATTAACTTTATGAATTATCTTGCTATAATTTCATGATTCATTCATGCCATTACAAATTAAAACAATAGCTAATAGCAAACCTAAAAAGAGGCTCCTATTAAAGAGTCTGAATCGCTCACCTGGATTTTTTTGTGTAGATCTTGCATCAATGATTATTTTGCTTTTTAATGTACATGTATATTAATGCATGTTTAAACATGCCATTTAAACTTTCTATCATAGTTTCTGCAAAAAACTAAAAAAAAATGGTAAACATTATCTTTTCAGGGCAGTAACTCTGTAATATAAGAGGTTAATTGATAATTTTGGTTATTTGACTTACAATATTTGTAGTCTTATTTTTCTGAACATTTTTGCAGAGTAAACTTTCTCTCTTGTTTCGGCAAAAAAAAATTAGTTACAATCATCTTTCCAGGGCAATAACTTGTATAAGTGATCAATTGAAGATTTCAGTCATGTTGACTGATTCGTAGCTAGTTCTTACTTTGCTGAACATTTATGCTGTTTGTAGTTTCTCTCTATCATAATTTCTCCAAAATATTTAAAAATTTTTAAGAAAAACAATACCCTTGATTCCAATCATTATCTTTCCGTCAAAGTGTTTGGTTTTAGATATGTTGACGTCATTTGTGCGTTTGTTGGGCATAAAATCTATGTCAGTAAGTTGAGCTAAGGGATGAATATTCTAATGGGGATAAATTCCATATGACTGCTTCGATAACTATTTTTAAAAGATAAAATTAATATATTCCTTTAGGCAGGGTTCGTTTATGTACACAAGAATAAAGAAGGGTGTTTGAAAAATGTCAAGCAGTCACAATTAATTTATCAGTTCAAAGATGCAGGGATCCAGTAAGCCCATAAAAGGTTTAAATTAAGTGAGAAATCAGCTTATAGTAAAAGAGTATTTCTGGTAATGGAAATGATATGGATCAAACGTATTGTCTTTCAAGGGTAATTACTCCTATAAGGGTTTCATTGACAATTTCGATCATTTTGGGCTTACTTTGCTGAACATTTTTGCCATCCAATATTTCTGTCTATCTATCATAGTTTCTGGAAAAAACTTAAAAAAATTAATAGATATAGTCTTTCAAGGGCAATAACCCCTATAAGGGATCAATTGACGAATTTGGTCCTTAGACTCTTCGGAAGATCTGACTTTGCTGTACATTTTTGCTGTTTAAAGTTTCTCTTTTTCTAAAATAGTGTTCAAGAAAACTACCAAAAACAGAGAAAATTCATAAAAATTATTATTTATGTGGCAATAACTCCAAATTGGGTTGTCCAATTTGTCTGAAATTTTTCTAGTAAATAGACCTTGACCTGCTGATCAATTTTACACGGTCATTTTTGCTGTAACTGCTAAATACAAGATTTAAGCCAAAAACTGCATTTTACCCCTATGTTGTATTTTTAGCCATGGCGGCCATGTTTGTTGATTGACCAGAATAAAAACACAAACTTTATACAAGGTACCATAAGGATCATTCACTCTTAAGTTTAGTTGAAATTTGTTCAGTTGTTTCAGAGGTAAATATCTTAGAAAAAATATATGGTGGCGACGGCAGATGTCAAGTGATGGCAATAGCTCACATAGCCCTCAGGCCTGTTTATAGCTTTTATTTTCCGATTCATATTCTGTATGGATTAAAGTAAGATTATCTTATTCCACCTGCAAAGTAAAATGTAGAAAACTATAATTAAACTATAAAATATATCATATCTTGTTCTCTTGTATAAGAAATAAAATATGTTGGTGGGATATTCACTTTTCATTTGATTTAACCATGCAAAAGATACAAATATAATATATGTAACACACATGCACAGGCAATACCCTTTCCAAGAAATCCTTTGTAAAATCCTGAATTTGACCCTAAAATTTAAATTGTATATAAAGTGTTTCCCTTCTGTACTGGTCTCCTTGCAATAAAGAGCAATGGTTAGAAGCAGATATTCTTATTCAAGTTCCTGAAATATTGTACAAATTTGTTAACTTCATATTAATATGAGGTCCCTTTCTCATTAAATATATATATATATTTATTATCAATCTTGATTGAAAACTTAAAAATACTTGTACTTAAAACTAAAAAACATTGCATGTTATGTCTTTACTGCAAGAAACCTGAGTACTACTCACTTAAATTTAGGGAAAACTTTTGGAAAAATTTGTTATACTTATTTCAAAATCTTAATTCCATCATCAAAAGTTTTTCTTTTATTGCTGGTCTACTAAAATAAGTCTGCCAATAAGATCAACATAAAAAAAAATTTCATTAAATAAAACTCAATTATTTTTTAAAGCTATACATGTAACTCATGCATACAATTTCATCTGGTTCTGTATGTCTTCTACACTGTTGACTCCAAATTTGTCATTTTGCTCCTGCATAAGTCTAAATATTTCTTCCAACTGTTTTCGTTGCATTTCTTTTTCTTCAGCTATTTGTTCTGCTGTCATTGTTTCTCCAATCTTTTTCTCAGCCACTCTAAATTTAGCTTTCTTTACTTCACTCTGTATATGTTCACAATATTGCATAGGATCAACTTCTGGTGCATCTCCACCTAAAATGTATCAAACAAATACAGTGTATATATATATATCACATATAAATATATCATTTAGTTACATCTGCTTTATACGCAAATAAAAGTCCCTTGAAAGACATTTCAGATTCTTCCAGAGCATCCTAGTTTAGCCCCTGTTTTTGGTTGCTGAGCGATGCCATCTGAAATGATTTTCTTACAGATTGTGTTACAGATAAAATGATTTAATTTCTAAAAACAAGATGATATATCAAAATTTCTAGTCTCTATTTTTTGTCATGATGTCTGTATTTCTTTGACTTTAATATGGTTTTGATTGTTTCCATGGTATCTTCTTCCTTTTTTAGCTTGTTTAAACTCATTTGAAAGTTTATGTACCAAATTATAACTAAAATGTATGACAATCATTGCAAAATGTTCAAAATTGACAAATGAGGATCGTTTGAAAAAATAAAGAAAAAGTACCCCATTTATATGGACAAAAAGTAAAATAACAAAAATACCGAACTCCAATGAAAATTCAAAACCGAAAGTCCCTTATCAAATGGCAAAATTAAAAGCTCAAACATATCAAACAAAGGGAAAACAACTGTCATATTCCTGAGTAGGTACAGCCAATTCCTTATGCTGAGGCGGATTTAGGGGGGGCCCCTTTTTTGGGAAAAATTTGGTTGATTATATCATGAATATAGGGAATCACTGAAGCATGACTGGAGCGGGCCCCCTCTTAGGCAGTCAGTGGGCCCCCACTTATGAAAATTTCTGGATCCGCCACTGTTATGTATAAAATGCTAGATTAAACCTGGATTAAAAATGGTGGACAAAGCGGCATTAAAATAAAAACAAAAATAAAATATTATTTTTTTTCTTCAAATATTTATAAAAGTGGAATAAAAGTTCAAACTCGTCTTTCAATTACTTCTTTTTTACTTGTAAGCATGTCAATATATGATATTTATCCCTTGAGAATTATCAAGGATTAACAAAACCACTAAGTTTAACAGTGTGTTATTCTCAGCATAGAACAAACCTTGACATATTTTCAACTCACATATTAGAACAAGAAAGGATATATATAAGAACAAGTTTTCAAAACTATACTGATCATGCACTTTCATCCCATGAATAAACTATTATTTAGAAGAAAACAAGTTGAATATATTTTACTCACATCTATGCAAGGTGAAAACACTTGGTTATCTTAACAGAAAATAGTATTTTTCAGACTTATTATGCCGTTATCATTCCAATTTAACCAAAAAACGGCATCAGTGGGTAATTTAAGACAAAGAGAAACCAACCTATACTTAATTTGATTTGATCACACTGAAAATAAATAGGGAATGTGTCCATGGGACACAGATGATGCCCACGCTTGCATATAACGTTATAAAGGGACATAACTCAAGAACAGTAAAAGTGATGCTACCCAAATTTGTACTTGATCTGAGTTTTGTGGTAATAAGCATTGTGTATAAGTTTCATAACATTTAGTTGAGGCAAACTTAAGTTAGAGAACGGAAACGAAAAATTCAGCATTTTTTTCATTTGAAAAGGGTATAACTCTAAACAGTAAAAGTGACGCCACCAAAATTCAAACTTGATCTGTGTTTTGTGGTAATAAGCAATGTGTATACGTTTCATAACATTTGGTTGAGGCAAACTAAAGTTAGTTAACAGAAACCTATTTTGGGACGTACAGACATACGGACGGACAGATGGACAAGGGTAAAACTTAATGCCCCCTCCGCTATGGTGAGGCATAAAAATTGTATGCTTATATAAAGCATTTTCTGAATTATTCTTCATCAGGTAAGCTAAAGATCACACAATTTAGAAGATAATACCATCCATGTAGAATGCTGAATAAAATTGAGAATGGAAATGGGGAATGTGTCAAAGAGACAACAACCCGACCATAGAACAGACAACAGCAGAAGGTCACCAACAGGTCTTCAATGCAGCGAGAAATTCCCGCACCCGGAGGCGTCCTTCAGCTGGCCCCTAAACAAATATATATACTAGTTCAGTGATAATGAACGCCATACTAAACTCCAAATTGTACACAAGAAACTAAAATTAAAAATAATACAAGACTGACAAAGGCTAGAGGCTCCTGACTTGGGGCAGGCGCAAAAATGCGGCGGGGTTAAACATGTTTATGAGATCTCAACCCTCCCCCTATACTTCTAGCCAATGTAGAAAAGTAAACGCATAACAATACACACATTAAAATTCAGTTCAAGAGAAGTCCGAGTCTGATGTCAGAAGATGTAACCAAAGAAAATAAACAAAATGACAATAATACATATATAACAACAGACTACTAGCAGTTAACTGACATGCCAGCTCCAGACTTCAATTAAACTGATTGAAAGATTATGTCTTCATCATATGAATATCAGGCACAATCCTTCCCGTTAGGGGTTTAGTATCATACCATCATAACATATATGAGAAGAACATAACCCGTGTCATGCCAACAACTGGTTTTTGAATAAATGTGTTTAGTGCCGATGCAAAGACCCTATAAGTGAATCAATATTAACGCCAAAATATGCAATCTTTAATGACCTGACAACAGTATCGTAACTATATCCCTTCTTAATAAGTCTATTTAAAGGTTTTGTTAGCTTCAGAGGTGAATACTGACATTTTTGTGCTTTATAAAGAATATTTCCATAATAAAATGCTCCGCAGGGCGCAGCTTGATACGACCACAGAGGTCGAACCCTGAACAGTTGGGGCAAGTATGGACACAACATTCAAGCTTGATACAGCTCTGAATTTGGATTGTGATTAAATATTTGACACAGCATAGGTTTCTGACACAGAATGAATGTGGTCTAAGAACTTAAAAATTTTAAATTGAACATTCACCTATTATGGTCCAATATCCAAAATCTAAATACATGGTTAGATTCAGCATATCAAAGAACCCCAAGAATTCAATTTTTGATGAAATCAAACAAAGTTTAATTTTGGACCCTTTTGACCTCAATGTGGACAAAGTTGATAACGGGGCCCAAAAATCAAAAATCTAAATACATGGTTAAATTCAGCATATCAAAGAACCCCATATATTAAATTTTTGTTGAAATCAAACAAAGTTTAATTTTGGATCCCGATTTGGACCAACTTGAAAACTGGGCCCATAATCAAAAATCTAAATACATGTTTAGATTCAGCATATCAAAGAACCCTAAAAATTCAATTTTTGTTAAAATCAAACTTAGTTTAGTTTTGGACCCTTTGGACCTTAATGTAGACCAATTTGAAAACGGAACCAAAAATTAAGAATCTAAATACACGGTTAGATTCGGCATATCAAAGAACCCCAATAATTCAATTTTTGATGAAATCAAACAAAGTTAAATTTTGGACCCTTTGGACCTCAATGTGGACCAATTTAAAAACGGGGCCCAAAATCCAAAAACTTAATACACGGTTAGATTCAGCATATTAAAGAACCCCAAGAATTCAAGAATAAAACCCCATTGAAATTGATCAAGAAATAAGCAACTTATACGAAGTATCTTCTTTTGCACAATACTGTGCAATTGAATATTTCTTGCTATTGCGCAATACTGTACAATTGACAATTTCTTGCTATTGCGCAATATTGTGCTATTGGATATTTCTTGCTATTGCGCAATAGAAGATTTCTTGCTATTGCGCAATACTGTGCAATTGAAGATTTCTTACTATTGTGCAATACTGTGCAATTGAAAATTTCTTGCTATTGCACAATACTTATTATATAATAATTTACACATCCTGTTTGGTGTGTATCTCCTACCATATCATTATTATTTGCTTTTAAATATTAATCAGAAATAACCAACTTAAAATGGAAAATTTTAAAAGAAAAAAAAAAAGAAAAAAGAAAAAAAAAGTAAAAAAAAATCCCCCCCCCCAAATTTTTTGAACCCCCTTATGATTCATCACCCCCAAACTCAATCCCAGCCTTCCCTTTGTGGTATGGTACCTTGCAGTACAATTTCAGAGAGATCCATACACTTGAACACAAGTTATTGTCTGGAAACTAGAAAAATGCTTATTTTTGGCCCCTTTTTGGCCCCCAATTCCTAAACGTTTCGGGCAATTACCCCCAAACTCAATTCCAGCTTTCCCTTTGTGATATGGAACCTTGTAGTACAATTTCAGAAATATCCAAACACTTACACACAAGTTATTGTCATGAAACTACAAAAATGCTTGTTTTTTGCCCCTTTTTTGGCCCCTAATTCCTAAAATTTTGAGGCAATTACCCCCAAAATCAATTACAGCCTTTCCTTTGTGATATGGAACCTTGTGGTACAATGTCAGAGAGATCCATACACTTACACACAAGTTATTGTCTGGAAGTTACAAAAATGCTTATTTTTGGCCCCTTTTTGGCCCCTAATTCCTTAACTGTTGGTACCATAACCCCCAAAATCAATCCCAACCTTCCTTTTGTGGTATTGAACCTTATGGTAATATTTCATGGAGATCCATTCACTTAAACTAAAGTTAGAGTGCGAAAACCAATGTGTCTTCGGACGACGCCAGACGACAACGACGACGCCAACGTCATTCCAATATACGACCAAAAAATTTTTAATTTTTGCGGTCGTATAAAAAATTGGATGTGAAATACCTGAACGTATAAGAAGTCTGCATGTTGAGCTATATTTACGAATGATGTCCTTATACCGATGATAAAATTTAGTAAATGTTTTGACTAGTTTGTGATATCGAAAACCCTGGTGTAATAATTTTTCAGTAATACATAAATTTCTCTCGTTAAAATCTAAAACATTGTTAAATACACGAGCGAATCGTACAAGTTGAGATATATACCGTAAGATGGTGACAAGGGAACGTCACCATCTAAAAATGGATAATTAACGATAGGAAATGAAAAATCATCTCTTTTATCATATATTTTAGTATTAAGCTTTTCGTTAATGATATAGATATCAAGATCGAGGAAAGGGCAGTGGTCATTGTTAGTATTAGCTTTATTTAAAGTA